CAAATCTTACAAAATAAACACGGAAAAAATGTTTTCATAAAAATGTATTTGTTACAATAACATACAAGCAGATATTCAGCCAGTCTTTGGGGAATCATGACAAAATATTCCTACAATTTATGTATATAAAAGATGAGGAGACAGTTAGGAAGATGATGTCAGGAGGAGGAAGAGGATCACTGGGAGATTCTGGGAAGCTGCATCCAAACCTGGAGCTGAGGCCTCTCCTCCTGAAGAACCGCCTGCCTGAAACAATAAAAAATAAATATTAAAAAAAAGTTCACACTGCACATAAGAAGCCAACAAGAGGGAAGAATATATTTCACACACACACACACACACACACACATAAATAATATGAATTTACAAACCACAAAAAAAATCAGAGGAAGGGAATAACTGGTATTGGAAGAGATACCAGTTATTCTGGTATCTCTTCAGAATAACTGGTATTCTGAAGAGATACCAGAATACCAGTTCTGGTATTCTGGTATCTCTTCTAAATCGGTCTGACTTCCGGGTCAGACCGATTCTCAATAATGAAATAATGAAAATCGTTTTATTTTTTATTTTTCCAATTGCCGTTTTTCTAATTTCGTTTTAATAACGAAAAATGTCTCAAGGTTTAGAAGATACTAACATCTTCAGAAGTATCGAAATCTCCAGAGAGGAATATTATATTTTGATACACGTATCAAACAGTATAACATTAAACTCTTCATGTCACACTTTGAGACGCTACGGTCAGATATCAAGCAGCAGAATACGAGAAGGTGACTTGCCGAGATCAGACTCCAACACACTCCACCTGGCCGCTGAGCCTGGAGCCGCCGGGCCCCGTTAGCGTAGCTACGCTGCTCCGAAAACTCCAGAGTATATTTCAAAGAAACCACATAACTAAGTCCATACATTAAGCTATGAGGGCTACTTTCTGGCCTAAAAACATTTTAAAACAATTTTTTGTGACAAATGAATAGTGTACTTACCTCTGTTTATCGCTGCAGAATGCGCAGTGTAATGGAAGCCATCTTGCTGGTCCAGAGATGAGACGGGGGAAAGCCACTCCCCCGTGCTCTGGCCTTTCAAAATAAAAAAACTAAACTAAAAACTTAGATTAACCATTTTTCTCGGTGACCAGATATCCGGTATTATTTGTTTCTCACAGGAGCATTACTTAAACTGACTTGCGACTGGCAGTAAAGACTACAGTATATAGCCTGAAACGAACAAGCTTGTCTCCCTGCAGCCTGCATAATATGTATGTGTGATACGGCCCTGTGTAAGCCGGACAGAGAGAATTTCCGCGTCAGACCGATTGTCAACAATGAAATAATGAAAATCAAAATTGACGGCTCGTTTTATTTTTTTTATTTTTCCAATTGCCATTTTTCTAATTTCGTTTTAATAACGAAAAAAAAAAACACGTTTGTTTTGTTTTTGCAATTTTATTTTGAAACAAAAAAAACCAAAGAACGAACCATACACGGATTTTCCAGCATGCACAACTGTGGTCAATGTAACAAAGTGCTTCCTGTACATGCAGCTGTCCAGATGAGATAATACCTGATAATCAGTGGTGTTCAGGAAAAATGTCAGACTCAACTTTGTGCAAGTTTTAGTTCACATATACTGCTGCCAAAGAAGTCCAGGATCATGAACTTTGTTCTTTTTATTCTGCATAACAGACTTCTGTCTAAACTTTCTTTTGTCAATATGTCTCTGTGATAGAGTAAAAGAAGCCTCTAAGCTACTGTGAATCATTTTCTCATGTTTCTATGAAACAGATACTAGTTGAAGTTAACTCTATTTTTGTCATGTAGACCTTGAGTTAAAAAAATATGAACCTGTGTCACACCTCAATCAGACTGGATTTTGTGGAAAATAGTGGGGGTTTTTTGGGAGGAAGCCAGGCTGCGGTGCACAGTCTGCTTTTCCTCTGAGTATATGATTTCTCACTGACCAACATCTGCTTTCCACAACTGAGATAAACCTTCACAGGCAGACTCTTTTTTCTTATTTAACTAATTCATTCATTGGTTTTTGAAGGCTATTGTTTGTGCCTGATTTTATTTAGAGGTATTAAAATAAAAGGGGGCTGAATATATCACATCTGACTTTTTTCAGTTTTTTTCACCTCACAAATATGCGCTACTTTCTATTTCCCAATCATGTAAAATCTCAACAAAAAACATTGAAGTTTGTGGTTTTAAAGTGAACAAGTGTGAGGATTTGAGTTTTTTGTGTGTTGTTTTCTAGGTTTTGTTTCCCTGAGTCTCTGTGGTGTCCTGTCTCTTCCCCCTTGATTGCTTCCCAGGTGTGTCTTATTCCCTAATTACCCTCTCTGTGTATTTAAGTCCACCTGTGTCCTTTGTCTCTTGTCGGGTCCTTGTCAGTTGTTGTGTGTGTTGGCTCTCCAGTAGAACTGTTTAAGTCCTGATTAGCTTGCTCCATGTTCAGTCTTTCGTCAGTTGGTACTGGCATTTAGCTGTGTGCTATTCTCTCTGCTGTGCTGCCTGTACTAGACTGTGTTTGAGCTTTGTCATTAAATTCATTTTCTTCACAACCTTGGTCTCAGTGTTCATCCTCACCACCTCTCATTCACCACATCATGACAAGTTCAAGAGGGTGTTAATTCTTCTAACCATCCATCTTCCTGTCAATTTGTTCATCTCCATATTCCCAACACTGGATATTTTTGATTTTAATGCCGTCTTCACGTGAAGAGTCAGCCTGACTTCACTTTCCCCACTCCACCCTCATTTCCTCCATTCTGTCATTTCTTGACTCCATCCATCAGCGCTAAGTCCAGACAGTCCCACATCATCCTAAAATATCACTGCTTTAAGTCTGCTTTCATTTAATGGATCAAAAGGCTGAAGAGTGAATAATGGGATTTAATCCAGGGCAGAGTAATTGAAGGAAACACTAGAAAACTCAACAGATCATTAAATGTGATAGTAGATTTACCAAAGCACCAACATTGCCCCTCTACTAACCCTTTAAAACGTTTTTGCCAGCTTTGCACTGAGAAGTAGCTCTGCAATTCCAACAGGTGTTTGCTAATGGCTGCTGGCTAGTCTGAGAGGCGGAGGCATGAGGAAGAGCTTGTAAGCTGCAGCTCAGAGGAGGAGTGTCGTCTCCCTGAAGCATTTTTCACAGTTGAATGGTTGCCATGGAGATTAAGGGATTTCTCAAACATGCATGAAAGAATCAAAGCAACACTCCAGCTGTGTTTTTGATGAGGGAATGACATTACAACACAAAATAAAGCTAAGAAAGTTGCTTTCTAAGCTTTATTTTGCCCATTTAAAATAAAGACTGCCCATTTAAGTTTCAGTTGCTGTCTCTTAGGGAAAGAGGGAGTTTAGAGGGCAGGTTTAGAGAAAGTTGTGTGCACTAAACATTTTCAAAGTCAGCAAAAACTAAATCTTAGCTCTGATATTAACGTGTTAGCAGAACTTTTAAAACATCAATCATGATCACATGTTTGTTTTTAAAATATTAGTATCAATAAAACCCCACTCACACATATAACCTCTGTCACCAAAAATAAATAATGACAGCTAAAGGCAGTGAGACCAGAACTAAATAGCTCTTCATTTTCTTGTTTGTGAGGGGGGAGAAATGGTCAAAATCATATTAATATCAATGTCAGAAGGAATGTTTTCCCAGCAGAACATTTCCTTGTAACTTGATGAATACCATTTGGCCATCTGTAAGAGCTCATATTGTTACAGCAAAGTAAGAGTTTAAGCAGTTAGCTAAAACAGACCGTCACTCCCAATAAAGACATAACCTTATGAATAAAAATGGTCTGTGGAATGCTGTGGTGGTGCAGGGGTTAAGCACAACCTACATAAGGAGGCTTTAGTCTTCGACTCGGCCATTGCAGGTTTAATTCCTGGCCTGGTGACCTTTGCTGCATGTCTTCCCTCTCTCTCATTACCCTAGTTTCCTGTCACGGCACTTTAAAATAAAGGCAACTTAAGCCAAAAAATAAAAACAAATGGTGAAAGGAGGTCTCATGAAACTGATTAGGCCCACATGAACTCATCAGTTTTTACTTGAAGCACAGGATCAGCACGGATTATCCCATTACCCTGTTAGCTTGGATATTTTCTTCATCACCTCTCTGTTGGATTTTTTTTTTCTTTCCTGCGCTTCACTGCCATACTTTCTGTTGTCCGCCACCATGAGAAACTACTCATTGATGGCTATGGCTTATTACTGGCGATTAGACAGACATCTTCTCCCGCACCGAGACAAACACTGCGCATGTCTCGGAGTGTCGTGTTTGAGTTAAAGGGGGACGCGATAGTTGACAGCGGTAACAGAAACACACAATTAGTAAGTCATGTTATTGCTTGGATTTGAATTGGTTTGATTTGTATTCACTAAAAAAAAGGATGTTGACAAATTAACTGGACAATATGCTGGCAATTTAGTGACATTTCCACAGTTGTGGTCTTGACTGGTCTGGAAATAAAATCCCAAGTCCTCAATGTCCCACACTGAAACGAGACCAAATGTAGTTGAGTCCAAGATAAGAACCACAGAAACACGCACCACAGAGAGACAAAAAGCATTTTTTGCCCTTATTTTTTGCCCTTATCTGCGAATTCCATGACTTCCCATGGCCTGAAATAAAATTCCATGACTTTCCAGGGTTTGAACATGGAAAAATTAAATTCCATGATTTTCCAGGTTTTCCATGACCGGTACAAACCCTGATTGCAGTTTTGTGAAATACAATGATTTTGATACGACTGACACCTCATTCTGGCACAAAACTTTTCAGCAAAAAAATGGCTTGCTTGCATTAAGCAAATTTACTTAATTCCAATTTGTGTAATTTTGTGGTCACTTTCATAAACCAGCAAAATATTTATATTAAATGCAGCTTAAATTTTTTAACTTACAACTTTTGTTTTTAGATTCTATTAATATAAGACTGAAAAAGATGACGGTGTGTGTGTGTGTGCATGAATCTCTCCTCTTACCTGGATCTTGATTGGCCAGCTGAAGTTGGACACATAGACATAAAAGGTGATGTTGTGGTGAAGCCTGAAGTTAAACTTTTCACATGAGAAGCTGTCCCTGTGCTCCTTGATGTTCATCCTCGCTATGACAGACATCTCCTCACCAGATATGGTACCAGCTGTGGGAACAGTATACTTGATTAAAAAGGAATAGTTAAAAGTAGAGCTTGAAAACATGACTGCTGTTCCCCCAGTAATAACTAAATATGACAAAAAGGTTCATATCAAAATTTCAAGCTTCATGGAACATGCACAGTATTGTAGAAACAAAGCGTCTTGATGCCATTTTTACACAAGGGCATGTAATTTTGTTTTGATGGATTTTCTTCATGCAATATCATTTGAGTCCATAGCAAATCCATAGTAAACCTCTTCAGTGAGTTCACCTATTTTCTATAAATCGTACAAAAAAAATTTTAAACCTCAGTGAGTGAAATCAATGAGAATTTTAAAAAAGCTACTGCATAACCTGAAGCTCAAGCAGGAAAATTAATGTTCATGGTCCAAGCTATTTCCTTGACAGTAATTCAGAGCGAGCTTGTAAATTCCTTGCAGAGCTCAACTGGTCAGGTTTCAGTATCCTTCCTTCAGAGCATTATCAGCATTTCTCTGTTAATGGTTCAGTTTTTCAGAAGCTTTGAATAAAATATTTCCACCTCCTGCTTTATCAGGACCATTGAACACTCTATAATAACCCGCATACAATCACACCTGAAGACACTCAACGTAAGCGCTCTGTGCTTCTATCTTAATTGAAATCAAGAGGGAAAATGCATAAAATGCCCCAATGGGAGGAATTCAAAGCAGCTTCTGACTTGTTTTATCAAACTGAGAATGCCCTGAAGGTGAGTCGAAAGACGATCTGACCGGATTCTTACGGATTCTCATCCATCAGTGTGAAATACTAGTGGTTCATCAGGATTAATCCAGCCGCATGCCAAACAACTAGAGGATCATAAATTAAATTTAATTACAGTAAAAATTACAGCTCACTTTCAGACTCAGAGTATCCTGCTGTCCTGACGTGTGTCCAAATGAAGATTTTTGTACCAATGAAACCCTCCCAAGTTTCCATCAAGCCTAACATGATCGAGAAAAAAGTTGGGCTTTTTTCAAAATTGCCTCATTTCCATTAAGCAAATTTATTTTTTTAATTCCAACTTGCGCAATAATATAATCAATGGAAACTCAGCTACGGTTATCTCAACACTTAGGATGATATCTTGTGACATCAAAATAAAGTTTAAACCATAAAAATGGTTATTATAACTAGAAAAATTGCTGTTTCTAGCGAAACAGCCGTGAGAATGCATATTTGAAGAATGATTTCTGCAGAAAATGCAAAACACAGCAGAACAAAGCACAAGAAATAGGGAAAAAAGCAGAAGAAAGCTACAGTCATACATCTACTCTCCTGAAGAAGCAGAACATTTTGATATATGAATTAGCACATTTAGTTGAAGATAGCAGAAGTAGTTAATGACCGAAAAATGTGAGCAGGATCTGATGAAATAATTTTATGCAAAACAGATGAAGCCATGACTTAAACCCCAAAATGTATTTTTCAAACACAAATCTAATCTTATCAGTGAGAATGCATTACTGCATTCTCACTTGTCAGTTAAGATCCTGCTCACATTTTTCGGTCGTTTACTTCTGCTATCTTCAACTAATTGTGTTAATTCATATATCAAAACGTTCTGCTTCTTCTGGAGATTTCTGCTATGACTTTTGCTAAAATTTACTACTGTACTTTTTTAAATAATTGCCCTTTTGTACAAATATTTGCCCCACTGAAATACATGGTGGAATTCTCTGTTGTCAGTTGCTAGAGTGTACACTCTAATAACTGACGTGTTTTGAACTTTCCATGCTTTTTGAGAAACAAAATGATGCTGTTCATACATATTTAACTGTACAAGAATTATTTATGCATTAAAATGTAGCCATGTATGTCTACTTTAAGGAACTATTACTATCATTGCTACAAATCTTACTGTTTTCTGTCAAACTCTACTGGAGTACAGCCATGTCATACCTTCTCCTATTCTTTCAATGTATTTCTCTCTTGTGCTCTGTTTTTATCTGTGTTTCAGCATTCTGCTTGTCTACCTTTCTGTATATGCCTTCTGCTTTTACTGGTTTTACTGTCTTCAAAGGTCTTCTGCAAACTTTAATCAATTTTGGCAATTCATATATCTTAATATTCTGCTTTTTGTGGTAATTTGTGCTTTTTTGTTGTGTTTTCTTTTCAAATATTTCAGGTTTTATACTAATTCCTGCTTCTGCTAATTTAGGCTTTTTGCAAAGTTTCACTTTTCAAGTTCTTAAACTAGTTCAGATTTTATACTAATTTCTGCTTCTGCTAATTCATGCAATTTTTTGCTATATTTTACTTTCTCAACTCTTTCAACTATTTCATGTTTTATATTAATTTGTGCTTCTGCTAATGTATGCTTTTTGCTATGTTTCACTACTCACCTATTTCAGTTTGCATACTAATTTATGCTTCTGCTAATCTATGCCATTTCTTTTGCTATGTTTTACTTTTCAAATTTTCAAATATTTCAGATTGAATTCAAAATAATGCTTCTGATAATTCATGCTATGTCTTTGGCTAAATTTCACTCTTTAGCAAAATACTTCTACCATGTATGACTGTAGCTTTATTCTGCTTTTTCCCCTATTTCTTATGCTTTGTTCTGCTGTGTTCTGCTGTGTTTTGCGTTTTCTGCAGCAATCATTCTGCAAATATGCATTCTCATGGCTGTTTCACTAGGAACAGCAATTTTTCTAGTTTCATTAGTTTTATTTCACAAAACAAATAGAAACCAGCAACATTAACATACAACTTTTTTCAGTTTGAATTGAAATTATTGTTATTTTCATGATTTATTTTCTGTGGAATTCGACATTAGCCACAATGCTGCCTTCTTCCAGCTCTGTGTCAAATGGATTCCACAGAGCAGCAGAAATCATGTGCGTCTCATTTTCCAGTAAGACTTCTTTGACGTTTGAATCATCAGTGTCCATAACACCAATGATGACGGCTGCAATTTTCTCCTCCTTTTTAGCCTGTTAATACAGTACAAACATATATTATTTTATATTAGAAATATAATCAGGTTTGTGAGTTTTCATGTTGTCTTAGCACTGTCAATCAGTAGTGTACATACTGCTCACATCCCACAGATTATTTGTTTTTATTAAAGTTGACTATTGGAGCTTTGAACAAATCCTAAAACAAGTTATCATACCTCTTTGAGCCACAGGTTGAGGATGGGTACACCTACTTTTCCAGATCTTACCAACCTAACTACAGCAAACTGAAAAGTACAAAGAAATGTACTTTTAGAGTTCACATATTGTTCTGTAATGGGGACTTTCATGTTATCTTGTCGTCAGTTGACATCTACAGTTAGCAAATCAAGTCCTGTCAAAATTATAAGAAATCTAAAAATTCATACCTCCACAATTTCTCCTTGGACACTGTTCAGCCCTTTCCCCACTGTTGTCAGTTCTAAAGGGGTCAGGGGCACTGGAGGATTTAGATGGGCCTCTGCTTTTTGCAGTAGGTCATTGGTAATGGCCGCTGTTGGCCCTTTATAAAACTGCGTGTTTGGAAGTACAAACACGCAGTTTTTGTACTTCTGCGTGACCCACCCATGTAGAGTGGGTCTGTCCCTCTGAGGGCATAACCCCTGACCCTCAAACAGTTTTTTGAGTACTTTTCAAAGATCGTTAGTTTGGCAACAGACGTGCCATCTGTTAAAATTAACAAATTTTAATTGGTTTGTTTTTGTTACAAGTAGCTTTGGCCTGCCATCACTAAATGCCCAGCTCATGGCTTTCTGCTCTTCTTTAATTTTTAGAATCATGAGTGGTGGTCTATAAAATGGTGTTTCAGGTCATGAGTAAACATGTTTATGTGTGTCATAAATAACCCCCTCATGATATATGACGGGCCTTGTGATAATTTTTTGGTGTGTTTTTCAAAGATGACAAGTTTTGTAACTCATTAATATATAAAGTTATAAAGTTGGATGAGTGCTGCCTCCCACCACAGAGAAAAGGTCATTGTGAACAACCATCTTCAAATTGGCAAGAAATTGTATGTCTTTGTTCCATGATTTCTTTCCCATTTAGTTTTAATTTGTTTTTGTTGTTTCTTGACCTTGTGGTTGTGTTCTGTTTCTCAGTTTTATTCATGCTTCGTGGGACTACGTTTTGACTAAATTTTGATGTCCACTAAGCAAATGGAAAACAGTAACATTAGCATATGTAATCACGTTAAATTAGATGTCCACAAAATAAATGGAAAACGGTAACATTAACATACATTTTTTTCCGGTTTGAAGTTAAATTAGTGTTTGGTTATGTTCATGATTTCTTTTCTGTGAACTGTAATCTCTGCAAGAATGTTTATTTTAGTACAGTCCTGTATCCAATCGTTCCATGAACTCCATTTAGTTTTGCTGAATTCGTCTTTGTAGTTTCTTGACTTTGCGGTAGTCCCATGCTTCGTGGGACTACATTTTAACTCGGCTATGTACTTTTTCCATTTAGTTTTAGTCAAGGTGTAAAAAGGCTTCTGCCTTTAGCACCCTTTGTAAAACAGTGTTTGGGCAACTGTTCTGTCTTGTGTGACCTTGAGGACACATATGCAGATTGGGTGAAGTGTGCAAAATGGTGTTCCTGGTGTGCTGTTAAGAAGTTCTGTTAAAGCCATCTTTGTATTTCTATGTACTCTTCATTGTTTATTTTTATTAATAAACATGTTTTTTGAAACTTAAAGTTAATCTTTTGTCATTAGCTTTCCACAAAAACAGCAAAAGATAAAAAACAACAAAGTCACTATCCTTCTCATGTTCACATAATGATATGTAATGGGGTAATTAATTTAGACCTCCAGTTACCAACTTAAGCCCTCTTGTATGGGAAAATTATGAGAATACTAGAAATTCCTATCTCTACCACCTGTCCCGTAATAATTATAAATCCCTTCGCCATTCAGCTCAAGTCGAGAGGGCTTGCTGCAGGACTTTTATGCCAACTTTCCTCCTCTTCATTTGCTGACATATGTTCACAGCAGCAAACATGTTCACAAACAGCTTCTGTC